CCCTGATTATCTTAGTCGCCCTCCTCTGGACCCTTTCCAAAATCTCTATGTCTTTCTTGTACTGAGGGCTCCACACCTGGACACAGTACTCCAGATGGGGCCTCACAAGAGCTGAGTAGAGAGGGACAATCACCTCCCTGTCCCTGCTGGCCACCCCTCTCCTGATGGAGCCCAGGATCATCGAGATCATCGAGACCAACCCCCCTGCCAAAGCAGGTTTCCTACACCAGGTCGCACAGGTAGGCATCCAGGCAGGTCTTGAACATGTCCAGAGAAGGAGACTCCACCACCTCCCTGGGCAGCCTGTTCCAGTGCTCCGTCACCTCACTGTAAAGAAGTTCTTGCGCACATTTGTGCGGAACTTCCTGTGCTGCAGTTTCCAGCCGTTTCCCCTTGTCCTGTCTCCACTCACCACTGAAAAGAGTTCGGCCTCGCCATTCTGCTCCCCACACTTTGGATATTTATAGACCTGGATCAGGTCCCCCTCTCAGTCTTCTTTTCTCAAGGCTGAACAGACCCAGTTCACTCAGCCTTTCTTCATAGGAGAGATGCTCCAGGCCCTTCACCATTTCTGTGGCCCTCCGCTAGACACCTTCCAAGAGATTCCTGTCTTTTTTGTACTGGGAGCCCAGAACTGGACGCAGTACTCCAGATGAGGTCTTACCAGGGCAGAGTAGAGGGGGAGGATCACCTCCCTCGACCTGCTGGCCACGCTCTTTTTAATGCATCCCAGGATGCCATTGGCCCTCTTGGCCACAAGGGCACACTGCTGGCTCATGGCCAACCTGTCGTCCATCAGGACACCCAGGTCCCTCTCTGCAGAGCTCCTCTCCAGCAGCTCATCCCCCAACCTGTACTGGTGCATGCAATTATTCCTCCCCAGATGCAAGACTCTACACTTGCTTTTGTTAATCCTCATTCGGTTTTTTCTTGCCCAGCTCTCATCATGGAGAAGATTTATAAACAATCTGGAAAGGAGTTGAATTTAGCTGACATTTCTTTATAAATTCTTTCTGTTGCATAAAATGCCACTCAGTTCTACGAATATCACAACAAACTACAAGCTTTCTCTATTCCCCTAGGAATGAATATAGATAACAGTGACACAAACTCCTGTTAAAAGTGCTTTTGCATGCAGAAAATTATACAGTTCACTGGAAGCGTCAATGGTAATTTAAAAAGAAATAACAGGATTGGCTATTTAAGAATTAGATGATAGCAACTGTTCTCAGTAAATGACTTCAGGAACAATGGAGGTAAGGCACATGCAAAAAGTGATTCAGAACTGGGCAAGAGACAGCCACATGGCTCCCACAGAGTTTTTACCAGAGCATGTTTATGTTTTTTGTAAAAGCAAATCCATTGCCAAAGCTGTATCTCAGCTTTCATTCAGAGGACTTTTCTTCCCATCCAGCTGTCACAAGAAAGCACCATGTTATTTTAAGCTAGAACTAAATTTTAGAGAAATAAAGTCAGGAGGAGAGGAGAGAGAGAAAGAGAAGAAGAAAGGAAAAGGACTATCATGTTTCCAAGGACAAGCAATTTTATTTATCAACACTGGCCAACTATTTTACTTCCAGAGATTAAAAGTTCTGAGGACTTGAGATAGGTTTTGACCGTGTCAAAATGCACAAAGCTGTATAACTTCACTCAGATGAGGTCAGATAATTTTATCTGGTTTCTACAAACCCATTTCTTGCCTCCTCTTCTCCTCTGTACCGTGCTTCCCACATAGCATTTGCACTTTCTACCACTGCAGCAGGCAGTAAAACTCCCTGTTCTTCTCCTACTGTCTCCCAATGAAAAGAAGCAGCTTTAGATGAGCATTACATCCCTTGTGCCGTACTGGCTGTTGGTCTGACAACAGACCCTTGGTACTTACACATGGACCATGCAGCTGATCTGAACACTGGGAGAGCTCCTGCAAACCATCCACAGCATTAATATCAACTGCAAGGAGAGAGCCAAGGGTGCAGGTTTCATTCCTCTTTCGGCGCATTAAAAGTAAACTTTTTTGATGTGTCTGAATTGTCTGGAGTGCTTACAATAGAACTGGTCTTGTTCTGTTAGGATTTTGAGTGACGGGATTTGGGTTTATAAATCTAACTGTTGTTTTTTGTTTAAAGACAGTAAATATCAATATATGCGCTTTACAAGAGGAAACTGAGCCACAGAGCCACAAATTGACCTTGATCACTTTGATAGGTAAGAACAACGCTTTGTATCCCTGCAGTAAAACCAAGGGAAGAACGAATCCAGGATTCCTGAGTCATGGTTTAACAGGTCACACTGGCACCACAGTACTAATGTACTACTCCCACTGTGCCTTCAACACAGCTCTCAATAAGAGCTGGAATGACTGGTCACCAAAATGAGGTGACAAATACATGATCTCTCTATTACCCTATTTCAGCTCGAATGTTTTCCTATCACAGGGATTTCTTAACACATTAAAGAGATTTCAGAACAATGCCATTTCCAATTTTCTCCAACTCATATTCTTTCTCTACATCACTCAAGTGTTGGAAAGATGTACCTACCTCTGTCTCAACTTATCCCTTTCTTCTTAGCTCTGTCTCACTTATCTGCATGGCTTTCTCTTCTTATCAATTTTTTTTTCTATTTTCTTCCTGCTTCCATTTCTGCACTCACTGAAAACACACTCCTTTGTCTCAAGAAGTCTGCAGCATCACCATGAGGATTGTCTCCTCATCACTGAGGATACAAAAATCTCACTCCTCCCTCATCCCTGGAGATATATGAACACCAGCTCTCCAATCTGGGGAAGAGCAAAGGTCTGTGACACAGCCCATCCCTCCAATAAATGAGCTGTTATGATCACATAGGAAGCATACTTTGGCTATTTGAAAGAATTCTTTTCATCTTTAGTAAGCCACGTAATTACACAATTTGCTTCCTTATCACAACTGAAAATTCATGTGCCAGTAGTGGGTGTTGGTCAAAACAGCAAAGGGAGCAGGAGCCAGGCCTGTGCTGCCTGCCAGTCCAGTAGGTATCAGGAGGAAGGATTTGGGGTTTGGAGACATGAGAAACAGTAAAGAGAAGACTCCTACAAATATAGTGTTCCTGGTGGTAAAGACAAGCCATCACTCCATTTTAAAATTTCTGTTAGCTGCAGGAAAGTCAATTTGGGATGGCTAGGGGACACGATTACCCCCTTCCTGCTTTGTCTTTGCAGACCTTGGCTTTCCACATAAAGCATCGGTGCAATCTGCATTTTTCAATGGGTTATGAAAACTCATCTTGAGATGCACTTGTGAAGAGAGAGAATGAGTGGGAAAGAGAAAGGAAATTAAAAATTAGGACAGAAATGAAAATACACTCTTGCATGAACATTTGGAATCTTAAATGTTCCATACTGAATACAATTAAATTTGTAATGTAATTACAATGTATTTAAGAGTAAAGAAGGATCTGGCGGAGAGGAAGCCAAAGCTAGCTAGACCTTCATAAAAATAACCTTAGGAGGGTAATAGAAGAAGATAGAAAAAGAAATACATACAAATCAATATGATCCATCCATGCTGACTTCCAGGGTTCTGGATAAGTTTGAATTTTCTTCCATTGCTTGGACTGGCAAATCAGCACTGTACTGTTAAAAGATTGATGGCTTAGAAAAACTCTGCCTATGGCACTGTGCATGTTAAGATTGGAGTCTCTCTTCTTGCAAAAACAAATTTAATATTTACTCTGAATGAAGAGTAAAATAGCTGATATAATGATGAGATATAAAAACTGCAGCATCACAAAGATGGAGCAAACCCGTTACCCTGCATTGACCACGGGAATCTTTATTTATTGAACTGACTTTTAAATGAGATTTCATTTTTCAAGATATTCACCTGGTTCTAAGACATCTTTCATAAAGTACATCGTCAATAACTTCACTGATTCCAGTTAACTCCTCCCATACCAAGTCTGGCAGAGTTATTTCATCATTCTGCAACTGCTTGACCTTTATCATGCACACTTTGTTAACAAGATCAACCTGCAATCCCACCATTTTTCTTCCTATGTTCAAGGTGATTTCATTTATTGATCAAATACACCACATGCCCACCAAAAAAAACCAAAACAAAACAAAACAAAAAAACCGAACAAACAAACCAAAAACCAGAGTTTTTTGTAAGATTCATATAAAATATGATGGAAGAGACTGAAAAGTTTCATGATTTCAATTTCTTTGGTTAGTCATTATCACCCTGCTGAGCTGCACTGTCCAGAAATTACTACAAATTACAAATGGGAAGAACAAAAAGAGAGAGAAAGCATAGCGCAGGAAAAAAATATAACAATACACCAATATTGATGCATTTCTCTAAGTATTTCAATATGAAAAACTATTTGACACAGATACACAGTTTTCCCCTGTTTCCTGAAAAACAATAGGGAAAGTAGAACCTTCTCTGCATCTGCTTTGTTATCTTCAAGGCAATGCCAACAACTGGAGTTAAACACCACTAAGCAGGGAAACAGCATCCCTTAGCTTACATTAAATGGATGTGATTCTTACTGTTTCCTTTTCTCCTACCTCATTAAGAGAGCTACTAGGTGACGAGGCAGCAAAATATCAGTGTCCACACAGCTGGATACATAAGCCATGTCTAGAGGATTCCTCTCAGGCAGAGAAAAAAATAAAATCACAAAAAGAAGGTACCCTGCAAAAGTTTCTATCTCCCACTTTCTCTCAGTCAAAGGCAGCCTCTCATCCCTAGAGGGCACCCGATGTACACAGCTCAGGGGCACCAAGCACCTTTCCCACAGGCTGCAGGATTCATCACCTTTATCCAGTTCCTCCCTTCTCTCTGTAACTGCACTTCCATGCAGGTTCTGTGACTGAAAAGATTTGGGGTCATTCTGGCTCCTTTTTTTTTTTGTTCAGTTCTTGATATACGCAGACTCAGACAGCTTCCATAAATTCCCCGAGCTGCCAAATTTCAGGACAGCCATTTGCACCTCTTTCAAGTAAAGCCCCTTACCTTATGATGACAAACATCACCAGAGAGTTTCCCACCAAGCCAACAACGAAGACCACCGAGTAGACAGCGGTGATGATGATGGGAATGGAGGGGGAGATGCTGGTGTAGTTGTGCTGGGTGTCCCCAAAGGTCCCAGTGGCATTGCTGTCATAGTCTGCCCAGCCCAGGGGCCAGCTGCTGCTGGTGCTGGGAGGGCGACAGGGCCCCGGCACGCAGGTGGAGTCCAGCTCCTCCCGGAAAATCTGTACAGGGGCATCCATAGAGACCACGGCTCCCACAGACAAGAGAGAGACTGGGAGGAGGCTGCAGGAGAAAGGATGCTAGAAAAGGGAAAAAGAGGGAATGAGACAGAGGTGCTATCGCAGCCACTGGATAGTAAGAGCTATAAAATTTGTACCTGTTAAGGGGAACACTGCTGTAGCAAGAAGTGTAGCTTGCCAAGCAGGGATTTAAATAAACCACATTCAAAATATATAAACATAAGTTTTACATCTCAGTATGTAATAAGTGTTTCTCCTCCAGGTGCATGAGGAAAGTTTCCCTCCACTTTCAGAAATTACAGAGAAACAAATCAGATGGGAAGCAGTTCAGATCCACCCCCACTCTTTAACTCTCTCTTTCCCATCCTCCATCTTTTAAGTCGAACAGCATCCTAGTGACAGGGGCTCCTTGCTCCCTAAACTCTACTATAAACAAGGAGAAAAATCTACCACCTCTCTGTATACCTGCTTTGGCATAAGCCCTGCCTAATCTTTTTCTAGATATCATGCTTGCTTCTAAACAAGAGACAAATTAATGACACGAAATACCTCTCAATCCAGGAGAAGGAGCAGAGTCCTCAGGCAGATATTAACAGGAAAAAAAAAAGCATCCACTTGGCTCCTGGGAGTATCACAGATCTTCTAGGACTTTTGAACCCGAGGCACTTGAGCCCTCAGAGATGCATGCTAGCAGCAGAGCTGACTCCTGAGCATGAGCTATGCCATAGTAGCAGCAGCTGCTGCTGTTCCAGCTCCTACCACTTTACCTTTTCCCTCCCAGGCTCTCTCTGCTTCCCTCTCTCCGTCAGGGCTCCAGCAGCATGCTGCTCTGATGCACGCGTTCTCCTCTGCCTCTGTCCCTGCAGCTCAGAAGCTCACATGACTTCTGCCTCTGCGCTCAGAGGCAGACAAAATAAAAGAAATAACTTCTGCTGTGAGTGGGTGCTTGGTTTTGTACACTTTTCCAAATCAACTTTTCTCATTGCCCTCACACTCCCAGGCCTTAAGCAAAGACCCCCTTTGCCTTCCTGAATTCTGCATGCATTTACAGGCTGGTAGATGCTGAATAAAACAGAATTTTTCAGGTTAGATTTCTTTCCTGACCTGTCAGACTTTTCCTGCCTCAGCTTCACAACTGTGGATCCCAAATGCTTCTCACTGGGTAGCTGTGCTCCTTTTCCTTTATGCCTGCAACCTGGAGGAATGCCAGAAGCTGGATCCCACAGCACAGAGAGGCAGGAACATCTGGGAACAGCCTGATTGCTGTCTATTTTTCATTCAAACTGTGCCACACTGTGAGAAGCCAAGTACATCCTGCTGTGGTCAGGGATGGAGAGGAGGAGTGTGCAGAAATCAAATTCCTCAGGCTTAATCCCTTAAACACTCCATCCTGTGGAGCTGAAAACACACTAATCTTTGTTTGAAATCCCAAGTCCCAACCAGAGTTCCCTGAGTAAGTGGCGTCTCCTTTGGAAGGAGCAGAGAATAGGCCAAGCAGGCTGTGCAGGACAGCAGGTCTCTGCAGGCACCTGCAGGGTGTCATGCCTCTCTGGACATTTTCTGAAGCTCAGATGGTCAGGAAAGGGGTTGTGAGTTTCCTTCATCCTTATGAAACTTTACTCCAAGTTCTTCTGATAGGCTGAGGTTTCCATTTTTAAAACATTTTTTTCTTTCCAAACCTATAATCAAGATGAGAAATGGCATCAGCCATAGAATCAAAAGTCTAGAAGGAGTTTTAAAATGTACAGAATCCCTTTCTGAAAGATCGAGGCTCACACAAGCATAGTGATGGCCATGACCATGCTCACTGGAAAACATCAGCATCTGCTCACTGTCACCTACTTGGAGCTGTCTGGAAGTTTCACCCTTGATGAGCACATCAAAAGTGCAAGGCAACAAACACATGACAGTAAAACCCCTCAACCAAATATATTTTAAAGGTGGAAAACTCGCCTGGGACAATAACCGTTACTTGGAAGATAAAGTGAGATCCTAACATAACATACCCCCTGAGCCTGTTTTTTCCTTTTGCAATCCATGGGCCCACATAATTGTACCAAAGGGAATTATTACTGCTGCTTCACCTCCTACATAGATTTATTTGGAGATTTTTAACTTCTTATGAACACCTTCACTAAACTTCTCCACATTCTGTAATTAAAAAACAGGAGAGCCAGAAGACAGTAATAATTTAGCATTCGTTGCTAAATTCTCTCTTATCAACAATTGTTTGTTGCATTGGTTTTTGTTTGTTTGTTTGCTTTTTGTGGGTGTTTGTGTTTGTTTTGTTGTTGCTTTTTTGGTATTTTTTTTGTAAGTATCTGAAGTGTGAGCACATACAGCTGCAAAATAATTAAGTGAACATTAAGGGTTAGGCTGGAGATACTGAAGAAGAAGCAACAGTTCATCATTCTGCTATTGCTACAGTTGGATCAGAAATGGAGAAGAAAAGCTTACTATTGCTCTCTGCATAAATCCAAAGCAAAGATAATGTGAAAAATTCAGTAAGATTAGTTAATAGCAGACAAAGAATATTCAAGCATCAGGGGCTGGACAGTAAGCTCCTCTTTCTCTAGCTACGTTCTGTGCTGAAACTCTTCAGGCATCTTAAAGTCAGCACACACACACACACACACACACTCTATGTGTTTACAGCAACAGTCACTGACCCTTAATGGTGTAAGTATGCATTATATCTGCATGAAGCTGGACTGAGGTGGAGCTCAGCCATGGCACTGCTAGCTGCATGGTGAGGCATATGAGGGGCTGGTGCTTTCTGTCTGAATGTGCTCCACTTCAGGGGCTCTATTCTAGCTATTGCTTGTTGCAGGTCTTTACAACTCAGTAGAAAAAAAGCATTAGGAATAAAGAAATGCCTTTTTTCTTCTGCAATTTTAGACAAATTCAGATAAACTCTTAAAAATAATATTTCCCTTTTGCATGTTTGCTTTTCTGAGGAAAACTTCAATAGCTGGATTATCAGGAATAACTGGCCTCACTGCATATCCTAGAAACTTCTGCAGTGGTGGCTAAAGGAAGCCTGAGGACAGAGGAAGAACCATGCTCAGTCACACCCCCCTCTCCTCCAGCAAATAACTGTTCGGTTACCACTGGGCCTTTCCAATAGTCCCGAAGTCACAAAGGAAGGAAAAGAAAGGGTTGGCAGGAGGTCAGCTCAACCGGTCCACACCAAAATTTCTGCCAGAACTCCCTGTTCCCCTGAGGGACTCCATTAGATAAAAGACCTTATTCTTCTTGGGGAAAGCAAGGAAAAATCTGGGAAAGGATAAGAGCATAAAAGCACAATATCAAACACACAGCTACAGTCTGTCTCTAGCTCTGATTGTGCACATCTGTGGCTTAAATGCCACAATTTTCTTCTTATTACAACACTATAGATTCAGCATTCAATTCACAGGACTTTAGGAGAAAGAAGAGGAATAAATTGGACTTGTTTTTGATTAAAAACAGAAAACCATACATGAAATTCGATATTTAAGAAACACTATTTAAGTCATGAATGCCAGTCCTCAGAGTTAAAGAAATACCACAGCCAGCTGTCTGATAGCCAGGCAGCAAAACACAGGGGTTCTGCGCCTCATTCTTAGATAAACTACACAATATTGCAACATTTAAGCCAGAGGAAAAAAACATAAACTGGAAATTTTGTAGCTGTGAAGTGTTTTCTTTTACAATCCTAGTGAAATTATTTGAATGAATAAAGAACACTGAGGGCAGGGATATGTGTGATGTTTAACAATAGCAGGTGGGAAGGGCTTCCACATTGTCTTCAGGTTTTTTATCTGTAAAATCTAAAATCGTTTATTGCTCAAAGAGCCACCACCATCAGCGCAGTGCTTCAAAATCATCATAATGCACTGGAATATTAATGCAGCCCTGACTCAGAGGTAAGAACAAAGCTCAGTGAGTCATTGGCACGACTCGAGGACCACAGCAGCATGCATGGTTTTAGGTGCCATGTGAAAGTTGCTGAGTTTCCAACAGTCTCCCTGAAGATCGTGACACATTCCAGGTTTAAGGTGAATTTTCAGAGCAGGGCAGACCTTGAAATCCAGCTGTGAACTTAGAGATCATGTGAAGAGGCCTCTTTTTATTCTAGAAATTGTGAGGGCGGCAAGATGAGTTAAGTGGAGCAAACTATCAGAATGCTTTTTTTAGTCCATAATTGTTTTTCCTACCTGATTGACCAATGGATACAATCATGGTGAACCCGAACAAAGGGAAGAGATGCTGGAAGAGCTTTTCTGTGGCTCCAGTTGCCAGGGAAACAAAGTTCTCCTGTCTGCATTTATCCAGAAATGCCGTCTGGCTGCATGAGCCCACACCTCGGGAAATGTCGCATTTCATCCATCCTTTTCAGAGGCAGAGGAAGGGGAAAAAGAGAGGCAGGAAAGCATAAAGAATGCTTCCTCCTAAACAACTTTCATACCTATATTTTAGTCACAGAGACTGTAAGTATTCAGCATAAGATTCATAGTTCAGTTCTTAATTGCAGATGGCAGAAATTTGTGACCCCTTGGACATCTTCCTTTTGTTTTGTTTAATCAAGGTCCCTAACTGGAAGTTTTCTGTCTTCCTGCTTGTCCACAGCAGGCTGCACCTGTGTTTCTCTTCTTAAGAAATAACTGTAGTATTTCACGTGTGTCTGTACTTCAGTTCCTACTTCAAAAATAAAAATAAAATAAACCCCCTAAATCTTAAAGTCTATCTAATTGTTTATGCAATGATCATTCACAATTAGACCTCCTATGTGTAGATCACTATCAGTTAATCATTTGGCATGTTGAAGTGTTGGTAGCTGGCACACAGCTCTGTGAAGGGAATGAGAATCAGCCAACGCAACCCAGACTTCGGCTGCAAGGCATGAGAAGCTCTTGATGCCATTGATAAGCTTTATGGGAATAAACAGAAGTCACTAAGATTAAACTGGTGGTTTTTTGCAGATGATGCCATTGGATTGTGTCAGATAAATACTGGCT